GCCGAGGGGTGAGTCGCGCTCCGTGTTTTACTTTCCCTGGACGAATAATACTGCAACCCCTTCGCGCGACCTCGGCACACCGCAAACTAGTAGTATCTTTAATAATATCGGATATAAGAGTAAATTAACGTTCGTTAAAATTAAAAATAGGTAATCGAGTGTGAAGAAAAATTAGAGATACAACGATAGATGGGAATTACGTTCTCATTGGAAGATTATTCGTCTTGAGAAGCACGCTATCGGAAACGCGATAGTAGAGTATCTCTTCTTTGGTGTTACATGGACAATGAGAATCGTTGTAACGTGGATATAGTAAAGTGACACGTTAAAGGAATCAGGTACACCAGAAATTATTTTCTTCGTTTGAATTATTTCGATTAATTTCGATCGTTCGAATTAATATTCCAAGGAACGTGGATTAATCTGCGCCGCAGTGAAATACGTGTTCAGCAAAGTACTGGAAAGTTTATGTAATTGGAAAATTCCGGGAACAGTGAACGAGGATTTCTTATCGTTTCGGTTAAGCACGAATGGTAAAAGAAAATTGTTAATTGTTCGTAAACCACCTTCCACGATATTCCGTATAACGGTGAATTAATTGATTGATTAATTAAATCAAGTAATTCGGAGAGCCGATTAAAAGTTAAAAGAATCTTCCTCGTGAAATTCGAAGATTATTCGAAGGTATTCGTTCGAAGCGTAACCGACGATCTGATTTAGCGTTATTGAAAAAATTCGAATATGCTGGATACGATAGGTTGATAGTTGTATACCGCGAACTACCTCTATTTAAATTAATCTGAATTAGTAAAAAATAATTTTAAATAATTTCCAACAGCATCGAACGCATAGTCAAAAATTTGATTAGTTCTCGTTCGAAGATCGTTTTGTCGAGAATTCGGAATACTCCGTTTGAAACGTGATTTATTAGAGGATTTCTTAAACGAAAAATGAAAATTGTTATTGCGCGTACGAAGCAGCGACGATTTAAAGAAATGGAATACGCGAGAAGCTGGTTGGTTCGTAACGATGTTTAAAGTAATTTCAACCAATTCTTACCAAAATTAAACACGTATTTATGAAACTAAAATTACGTCGGAATTTCTCTTATTCGAATATTTAATTGGAGAATGGAATAGATTTATAAAGATTGTTGTAAGATGAACGTAACAAAGTGACTTGGAGATACTTGGAGAATAATAAAAGAGACAAATTATCGTTATAAGGTGGATCCGATAAAGCGATTTGAACGACGATACTCGAATGTGCATCGTGTCGCTAAAAAGAAATATTATAAAATAGACGTGGTCGTTACAGCGTGGACGATTCGAGGGAAAATCGAAGATCGTGGAGAAGTTTAACGCTTGACAGTGTTAATTCAATTAATGTGCGAATAGTATCAGATTTTCCTAACGATTTGCCTGGTTTGCGTTCACTCGATGTTGCGGTTTCTCGCGTTAATGTGGTTATCGATCATCGCTGCGATACACAACGGAAGTGATATAAATACATGGTGAACGATGAGAAGAGAATATCCCATAAAATATATCGGAATTTTTCTCCTTTAAAAAATTATTCCTAGCAATCTGTATCGGATGGATGTTGCAAAATTTCTTACTCGCGTTCGTTAAAAGTAGAAAATAAGCATCGCTGTAACTCGACCAAGCAAGCTCCGTTCGAACGAATTTCGATTTTAACTTTCGACTTTAAAAAATATTCCAATCGAAATATTCCAATTAAAAATTTCTTCGAAACAGATGGATTTTAAATTAATCCAAAGATGAGATCGAAATTCTTGTCGTTGGAACGCTCCGTTTAGAAACGCGGGGCATCGTCTATTCCGAATTGCTCGAATCAAACGGTAAAAATCATTGCTGCGACGTGGATGATTTAAAGAACCGAGTACGCCATAAATTGCTCCTTTAAACGATATTCGCGATCATCTCGACCAATTTGCACCAAAATGAAACGTCCGTTCGAGATATTTAAAATACGGTAGAATTTCATTTTCAGGATTCCATTGGAGAGATAAAGATCGTACTTGAAGTGTTTGAAATTATTCAAATTAATATACGAAAGAATATTCGACGTAATGTCTTCGAAATCAAATTTCGAAAAATTTGAAGATTGCGCGAAATTGAGAATATACTTAACAAAATTTGTCTCGTTCCAAGGGCCCATTGGAAGAGCGATCGAGGATTTCTGATCGTGTTGGTTAAAAGTGGAGGATAAAAATTCGAAATCGTTGTAACGATAAGATGATTTCAAGAATTCGAGTAGACCACAGACCGTTCCTTTAAAAACTAATCGCTACGGTTTGAACCAGTTTTCGTGGAGATTGGATTTCTTACGCAGCGTTGCTGAAAAAGATAACGAATTGCAACAATTAATATAACGTCGATCCGATAAAGTATACTAAAAGAATCGTGGCATCGAGCAAACGATATTGAAAATAATCTCAGCCGATTTCCGATAAACTCGAATACGTGTCCTCGAAACATTTCAGTTTAAATTCTAAAAATTAATCGTCTACTCGGTTTGAAGAGTGAAGTGAAAACCCGCGACAACTGGATATTCGATAAAACATTTTTATGGAGAAAATCAAGCGGACGATCAAAGTATATGTGTTGGAAGGAGACGAGTTGGTTTACGGACTGGTTTTCTGGTTTTATAGTGGAAAAATATTGATAGTTGGTGTTTCGTATTAGCAATTGTACGGTGGTTCGAGGATCGAGCATGAGTTTGACGGTGGTCCAACTGCTAATCGGTTTGTAGGTGAAGGACCATGGCGAACGCTGGTCGATGGAGCAACACGTCCGTGGAAAAGTAAGCGTTGCATGATTTTTTCAATTTCTTCCCTTCCTTCTTTTTCCCCGTTTTCATTGTACGAAATTTTCACAGCCATACGAAGGTATTATCGAATGATACGAAATTTAACACAGGGCAGAGTTGCGAGGTATCGATGGCTGTAAGCTTTTCCCTCGTATCTTGGAGCGGAGTCGGCAGAAATCAAAATTCGGAGAACGAGTTTCTGGACGAATGGAACTCGATACAGAGAGCGAAGTTAATTTCCTGAAATTCAACGACAACAATTGGTCATTTTCAAGGATAGAAATGTTGCGATTTGTAGGAAAAATTGTCGTTCAGGACCGACTAATTATTTCATTGGTAGATTTTTCGGTCCAAATGATTAATAAAGTTAAAAAAAATCACTCGGATGTCAGAAGACGCATCCCTGTTCAAATTAGACTTTCACGTACATCACGAGTAAAATAAATAATATCTTCTTGGTCTGTGCATTGAACGTGTGCTCGGCCTTCGCGTTTTTGTAACATCGGTAGCCTCAGCGGCTCGTCTCTGGCCCATTTTATTTTCGAGAAGCAGCTTCAAGGCCGCATCTCATCACCATTTTCCTTTTTCCTGCTTTGAAATTTCGGATGTCTTTCTGAAAAAGTAGAACAAACGTCTTCTCATTTAACTTCTGTTGCAAACTGATCCAACTTACAGATGAAAAAACATATTTCGTTTGCGCTGATCCGATTGTTTGGTACTGAACGACAGTTGGATAGTCGGTACTGTACGACAAACGCGTCGTATATACAGTACAAAGAAAATGACAAAACTAGCGATTACACTTGATCGTTATATTCGTTTGTTTATTCGAATAAAAATGGCAATATGTATCCGGCGAAAATATCGAATTTTTATTTTTTTAAGCAAACGGTTGGTTCCACTATACGTGTAAATCAGGTCTAATCGATAGACTGCAGACTTTTATGCGATTTGATACTTCTATGAACGTAGCTAAAAAAGGTAAAATTTATATACAGCCTTTTTCTAATATTTTACTTTCCATTTAAATATTACCACGATCGCTGCTTTACTTCGGGTATTTTATATATTCTTACGTGTTATATGCATTCCGTACGTTTTTACAGTTTTATATTTTCCATAAATGAACAAACGCGCGGACTCTACTTATCGATACACGGTACAGTGGATAATTCACCGTTCCAATATTTCTGTAGCTTCCGAAGCGTCACTTCCTACGGCGAATATAACGATGTTGTTCCTTGCTGTGTCGCGACGATGAAAACATAACTTTTTAAACGTGCTTGATACCAACCTACGAAGAACTTATCTGTTACTATCTGCAATGATTATTTTGCTAATAGTAATTGTAATGTAACGTAAAAGTAACGTTTGCTGATAACAATATTTTGTAACTTACCTGCCAGATGAATAATCATACATTGCACGCTCCTTAAAAGGTAGATATGTAGAAACATATCTCGTTCAAATCCTTCGTTGACGTCGAGATCCAAAATAATTTACTGTTCGATTCGTCGCTTGTTAAACAAAATATATATGCCACTGTTGTACGTACTTAAACGCACAGAAAACAGATTTATCGAACCACGTAATTTACATTGTTTTGCATTTTTGATCTAACGATCCATCGATCGACGCGTCATCACGATTCGTCGAAATCCTTCCACAGACCGATATATCAAGGTCAACGCGGATACGCTCATTATACCAACAGTTCCTTCGTTGTAAGTTCTCGTTCAAGGTTCCGTTAGCAGCTACGGCATTTCTATCTCCGTTCGTTTCGTCTTTGCCTCGTCTCTCTGTTCTCTTCCCATCCCTTACATAATTGACGAGTCTGCACTCCAAGAATTGCCAGATAAATCATGCAAAATCCCGCAGTGTATCGCCATAAAACGAGAAACGTGAAACGACTGATCGTTTTATAAACGAACATCTGCACCGACCTGTACGACATTAAGACGTATATTGATTCTCTTAACCAAAAATCTAATCGAATTATTTAAAACAAATATGTCTTTTAAAGAATACCTTTTAATATATAGTAAATCGTATTAATACTCGGACACTTCATGAAATTTCAGCTAACTAACTTGTCGTTTCTTATTTTAGGAGAGGTATGTGTGTAATTTCACGACCTCTGTTTTATTTTATCTCTTTCCGCCTTGTTTCATCTCGCTCCATCTTGTTTCATCTTGTTTCATCTCGCTCCATCTTGTTTCATCTTGTTTCATCTTACTTCATCTCGATTCATCTCGCTTCATCTCGTTTCATCTTGCTTCAATTTCTTACGAATATACCGTGTATTTTACACGAAACATCGTGAAATTCGTATACTTTGCGCATAAAAGTATATACTTTGTGGTATTTGCTAGAGTTGATCGTATTGTCAAGCCTATTGCGCGTTTGGGGCGACTTACGCTATCTGTACTATTTTCTTTTCTATCAGATATGTATTAACAAGTTGTTTTGTATTTTCTACGTACGTGTTCCAGTTGGTTTTATATTTCACCCGTACAACCGTGATAATCGTGTCCCATTACGCTACTGATACAATTTTAAAGGGTTTCGTATATGATATGTTTCGTAGATAATATGCTGATAATATTCAAATACCTTTGTGACTGCATTTTGCCTGGTCGTAAAGCGCTTCATTCGTAAAACGACAGAATTAAAGTCTTCGAAGATATCATAACGTAACGAAAGACAATTTCATCGTGATTAATTTGTCATGCGAATTATTCTGAATTTATGAAATAATAATATCAAGTTTAACGTAAGAGCGAAACTTAATCGACCTACGATTTACTATTTCTTTGCAATTTCTCTTACCATATACAGTTTCGTACAACACGCATAATGCGTTCGTAAGATAAATTGGCTGAACGTTCGAATACTTTCGTTCAAATCCCGACATACCCGACATACCAGTTGCTAGAAGGCAAGTTTCCACATACCCTTAATTTCCAATTCAGTGCCATTTTATCAAGGTCTGTAGGTTTCTACAGTTCTACAGTTGCAAATTTTCCTAGTCGTACAAACGTACGTACTACTGAATGATACGAAACTTGATATGTTCTTGCTGTGGCAGATAGAACGGTGTGCGAATACCTTTTGCAGCCACTGTTACTCAACGAGATTTTCTATCGTTTCAGGTGCAGGTAACCAGCGGGTGAACAAATGGAAGGCGGAAGAGCAAAAAAGGAATTCCAACGATGGTAACGGTCGCGTGTTTCCTTGGCAATGATTCTCTAGAGAATCGAAAACGTGTCGATGCGATTTTAAAGAGATAAATCGAACGGAGTAAAGTGAAAAAACGGACGAGATATCGCGATCATGGGCTCGCTGCCAAATCTTCACGAGTTGTCCAAGGACAAACTCGAAAGTCCTGCTTATAGACCGGCTCCGATCGGTGGTTTGGGACCCATACGACTGCCAGCTCAGCCTCCGCCTTTAGCACACACACATAGACGCGCTAGAAGCAGTGGACACCATCATGCCTTGTGGGACAACGATGCTATGCTAGAGGTAAATACGTAACAACGTATTAAAAACGTATCTGAAAATCGTACAGGATATACAAAATGTGGCGGATGAAATGAGAGTTTTTGCGTTTCGTCCCGGGACTACCGGTGAACTCATCGGTAAGGCTATGCCCGGTAGTCTCTGCCATAGACGTAGAGGGAGTCTCGTTAGGTGCGGTATTTGTATCATTCGCCCGTATATTCGACCGCTAGCGAGATAGACAGACTCGTCGTAGCCCTCTGGCGTTGGCGGTTGGTACCCGCGGATCGCCCGGGAGGTGTTGCGCCGCGTTGATGCCTCGACCTGTCGGCGCCCTGTTGATACCGATCCGCCACAAAAATATAACGACGATATATCGTTTTCTTGATAGTTGACGATAATTGTCCTCTTGTCCTATCCTCGGTAAATATAATTTTCACGTCCTCCTGCTCCAAAACCAGTGTCCCTACTATGCTTGGCAACACGCATCGGTTGCGCGGTTTATTTATTATTAAAATTCTGATTTACAGCATATGGCAGCATATTCTCCCATCTCCTGTCGGTCAACGAGGACATCGGCATTATCGTGGCGTCGACGAGACTCGATGAATTCATCGGCAGGGGC